TTATAAGGCGATCATACTGTTGAGAACCCCCTTTTTTTTGTCTTGTAATATATAGTTCTGTCCTTACTCAGATGTGGGAGAGACCACATGTCGTACATGAATGCAGGGCTATTTTTGGGCAGGAACGCACAGGAACGGAGTTCCGGCTGGCTCCCAAGTTGGCCACGCCCAGCAGGAACTCATTGGCATAATAGGCCACACCCAACAGCAGGAACTCATTAGGATTGGCTACATTGGGGGTGTGTGGCCTAACATGCAAAGGAGTCCTTGCTACAAAAAAGGCCCTGGGTTTTGACAACAAACAAGGCAAACAGAATGACAAGCAAAAGGTGGGTGTGGCTGGATAACCACAGTTCTGGTAACATGGGGGTGCGGCCTAATGTGCTAATGAGCTGTGCTGTCAGGGGTGTGGCCTAATATGCTAACGAGTTTCTGCTGTTGGGTGTGGCCTATTATGCTAATGAGTTCCTGCTGGGCTTTTTCTACAAAAAGAGCCCTGCATGAATGCATGTAAGAAATTTTCGACAGCTCATCCTTTGCCGGGAAGAAGCATCGGGAAGGGGTGAATCGAGGCAGAGAAGTGGGGAGGGGCGCTTAAGCCTTTCGCCAACTGCCCCTTTCCTCCTCAAGGGAACCTCCAAAGTTACTTTCCCACACATAACCTCCTCCATGGATTTCTAGACTTGTGTTTCTTGTACAGATCAGATGTAAGTCTGTCATTTTTTGCAAAGATCATCCGAGGATCTGGAGCTTTTAGGCATCACGAAGTGTGGAAAGAATGATTCATTCTGGGAGAATTTCCTTTGATTCGGTTCACTGGGGAGTTTAAACCCACCCCTGTACAACTCTCCCCCCTTCTTTCTTCAGAAAGCACATTCTTAAATAGAGAACCTGTATGCTGTGTTTCTTTACAATAATAATAATAATAGCAGTTGGGGGCTAATAGCATGTAACTTTTAAATCCACATCTGTTCATGGGAATTGGAAAGTTATATCCGTTGGATTATTGCAATTGAATGAGCCCCATTAATTTAATTAATAGCCACCTTTGAGAGCTTGGAAAGGAAATGGGTGGCATGCATCATTTCCACAGCGTGCTAGGGGTTTTATAAAGGCACCTGGCGTCACTTGTGAACGTGGCCCGTAAGGCACAAAGGCGGGGGGGGGGGGGGGCGCTGTCACCTTGGGCACGCTTGTTAGGAAGCCGATACATGTGGCTGAGTGTTTCATAATCTTCTGTGCAATTCCATTTTAAATTAAAATCAGTTTTAAAGTACAGAGGGGAGTCGTGTGCTTTCTTGCCATTAGAGTTTCTTTTTCGCTTGGCTGAAGAAAACAGATCTGAGTTTTTGCGGGACAGTGTATCCAGTGAGTCCCCACCCCCATCTAGGTGATTATGCAGCTGCTATCAATGAGGTTTCTGTCCCAACCAACAGGCCATTAATTAATTCATCCCTGGCTTATCTCCCGTGCCCTGCCTTTTTGGGTTGAGCCGTTTGATTCTCTGCAAGGCAAGGTCGTGTTCGGGTGTGTCCTCACTTGCCATTTCCTTGCTTGGCTGCTTGCGTTAGCATTGCTGCAGCGGCGAAGCACTATGTTAAAAACAGAAAACAAAATTAAATATTAACATGCCTATTTAAAAAGCTACGCTGAGATGGCTCAGGAAGCCTTCGTGTCGCCCGGAGTGATGCTTCACCGCAAGAGAGCTCTCCGCTGCTTCTCCACTCTCAGAGCGACCGCCGTGGCACGGATTGCCTGGCCCCCTTTGTCAGAGATGTTTTTCCTCCATCCCGTGACGTCTACACACTCCAACCGTCCCTACCCACTGGGGATTGTTCCTATTTTCGGGCGCCTGTCCCTGGTTAAAAAAGAAAAAACTGTCCAAATTTCCCTTATGGTGGTATCTTTTACAATGTTGTTTTCGCGTACTCAAGTCTTCTTTCCCCTGAGCCTCTAGAGGTTAAATCTACGCGTGACGGGCGGAATCATTTTGTATCTTGTGCCAATTAATATAGAAACACACACACAGGGGCATAATGCCAGCACATTGCTTCTCTTCCACCCCCCACCCCATCCCCCAAATAACTGCAATATTCAAATAATAAATATTCAAGACATTTCAGCCCGTTATTCTAGCATCACCACAGGTGTTGCGAGATTAAATGTTACCAGATGAAATTAAGAGATTATGGTCAGTTAACTAACAAGCACAGTTTCTGACAGTGAATTAGAGAAGCATGTGGAATTAGATAAGCATATGGAGCAGCAGGCCATCAGTGGCTATTAGCCACAAGGTACAGATAAGGACTCTCAGTCTGGGGCAAGTGATGCTCTGTATTCTTAGTGTTTAGGGGGAGCTTCTAGTGTCCTGGCCCCACTGCTGGACCTCCTGATGCCACCTGGTATTTTTAGCCACTGTGTGACAGAGTGTTGGACTAGATGGGCCATTGGCCTGATCCAACATTGGCTTCTCTCATGTTCTTATGACACAAGACAGACTATTACAGAATAAATGCATACAACATACGGGGGGGGGGGGGGGGAGGAAAATGAGTGAAGGGTTCTAATCAGAAGTGGTCAAAACTTTGGAATCTCAAGGTTGTAGATCAGTATTTTCCCTGGCATGCTCTTTTCTGCATACAGGGGGCCTTATATCTAGAAATCGAATATATATATAGGGGAACAGGGGTGGATGGATTACTAGATCTGTTCAGGATGTTTTGGGTACTTTTGTTTATTCCCCTGCTTGTTTAACACTGTATTTTGTTTATTTAAAGTGTATTGACATTTTTCAAAATTTGCTTTGGGTCCGCATCGGGGATTAAAAGCAGGGTAAGAGATGATCTGAATAAGTCATGATAACTAAATGTTCAGCCGTCTCCCCAGCAGCAGTCTGAAGGGATACTGTTAAGGAAGGACTGTACCACGTGCTATTTTGGCACATTCGTATTGGCCCTAGGTTTGCATCTCTAGAGTGATCAGCATTTCCTCTCAATCGCAGACTCTCTCGGCCAATGAGAGAAGAATTCCAAGCAGATGACTTCCCTGGTATGAGAGAACTGGCAAGTCATCTAATGGGCTGCAAACCTGATCAAGTTCGCTGGTTATTAGGTGCTATATTTTGTAATGGAACATTCTAAGCTGTAACGAGGCAACCAGGCATTATTGCTTGGCTTGTCAAACAGGGAAAAGAAGTTTATTTGCTGTGCTCAGATATCACAGTTTCTCTGCTCCCAAATGAAGGCAAGCAGAGGGATGTAATGGGCATTCAGCAATTATAGCCCACTGAAGAACATAGCTGTAAGCATAGCTTTATGATGAAGTGAATCAACAGTATATTTCCAATACATCACCAAGAGAAATGAATTGTTGAAAGACAGTTTATGTACACATCCTTGTTCAGAAGATCATTGTCGAAACGGCACATCATTCCGGAGACCACTCTACATCCACTATATATATTACTTATTTTCTGTTATTGTATATTATGATTTATGAATATATTACCAAGCGCTAAATTGTCACAGTTCTTTTTCCTTTTTTCGTTGGTAATAAGGCAGATAGCCAAGCCTGTCTGTCGGCTGATGCTTTTCTATGCTGTGGAGTGCCAGATGAATGTAGGTTACTAATGGAGCACTAGTGATACCTCCATACAAGGATTTGGAACTGCATTAAATGCACTTTAGGATGTGTCTACATTATACACCCGTATTAATTCTATAAGAAATTGTCGTGGCTGCTGTGAAGAAATGCATTTTTTCTTTGAAAATTTGAAATGAGCAAGACCTTCACTCTGAGTTTTAAAAGTCTTTCTTTCTTTCTGGGCAGAGAACAGGTGGGGGAGGGGAGTCAGTTCAATTACTTTCCAGACTTACCTAAGCCCACCTTCATACAAATGCTAATAGGTCAAGAACAATGGGATGGTCAAGCTCTCCCCCTTTGGAAGAATTAAATACTAGGGAGGTTTCAGGAAGGAAATTCTAGAGACTTCAGAAAAAGCCTCTTTGACTCGGCTTGACCTGGTCAGTAGGTGGGGAAAAGAAAGGTGATAAAAGTTAGGAGAGTGAGGAGGAAGCACTCTTTTGTGCTAGGTCCATCAGAGCAGACAGAACTCTTAGCTGAGGTCTGGAGAAGGCGGCCATTGACCATGCGGTGGCCTAGAGAGCTACAGAAAGTTTTAAGGTAATGCAAACTGTAGAGATCTGTAACTTACTAAGCTTTAGGAGACTGTCCTATAGTCTAACATCTGATGGGGTATGTATAGAGAGAGGGATAGAGGAATTGCATTTTACCCCTTTCTCTTGAATCACGTACTCGGTGCTGTGCTAAAAGTATGCTTGTGAACATTTTCTTTTTAATAAATACTTTATAACTTTTTGATGCTGGTAGTGGTTCTCTGTACCACACTGACCTAAATCATCTTTGACACACTATTTTAAAAGGCAGTTTGCAAGTGGCTATTCCTCCATGGGCGCACAAGGCAGTAAATGGTCCCTGTGGTGACCAGGTGCTGGGCAGCAGGAGACACAGAGGCAAGGCCTCAGAACTTAGAAGGGAAGCTGGGAGTCCTGACCCTCCCAATGGGCAATTCCATACAACGATCAGGTGGTGGCAGTGGTTACCCGAGAGAGAGAGAAAAGCCTCTCCAGGTGTTAGGAACCTTGGAGGGCAGGGTGGAACAGGGCCTGGAGGTCACAGCAGGCCCGTTACGCCACAGCTTCCTTCAAAGAATACTGGGAATGGAACCACAGAGAGTGAGGATTATGAGAGGTCTCTAGCAGCCATTGCAAAACTACAATTCCCATGGTTCTCTGGTAAGCAGGAATTAACCCAGTTTAAGTCTGCAATGTAGATATTTGTTTGGTGTCCTTGCAAAACCAACAGGCATTTGAGTCTTGAGTCCTCTGAAAAAGTAACATTAAATAATTTGAAATAACTGAATTAGGATAGTATCCTGTTTAAACTGGCTCTTCTACATAGAATATGTTCTGTTTTCACAGGCTGTCTACATGTTCTATGCTTTGGCGATTGTTTGTGATGATTTCTTTGTCCCTTCATTGGAAAAGATTTGCGAAGTAAGTATCTGCTGGTGCTACCTGCCCATATTTTTGAACAGATTGCAGTGAGACAGAATTGTAACCTTTAATTTACTTTCCATCACCTTTGATATCTAAATTGTTTGACTGGCCTTACAGTGTTCATTTCTGTGAGCGGTTTGATGATGAGAAACCTGTTTTGCACTCAGCACTTCCTAACCGATTAAGTTTGCAATAACGGGCTCTTTTAAGATGTTTGATTTTGGTGTTTTAAAGGTAAAGGTAAAGGTTCCCTTGCTCAAAAGCCAGTCGAATCCAACTCTAGGGTTGCAGTGCTCATCTCCGTTTCAAAGCTGAAGAGCCAGCGCTGTCCAAAGACGTTTCCATGGTCATGTGGCCGGCATGACTAAACACCAAGGCGCACGGAACACTGTTACCTTTGCACTGAAGTGGTACCTCTTTATCTACTTGCAATTTCTTGCTTTCGAACTGCTAGGTTGGCAGGAGCTGGAACTAGAGACGGGAGCTCATTCCGTCATGCGGCACCCGGGTCTCGAACTGCTGAACTACCGACCTTCCACAGCTTTTTAACTGTGCATAAATAGGAGAGTGTGCTACGCCTTGACCTTCCTGATCCATATGGTTGCCATTTTGTGTGAACAGGGAAAAACATATATTCCATACATGTACAGCTGAGATATGCACAAATGTGTTCCCTTTTTAAAAAGTGGGGTTTATTCATGTGTATCAAAGCTATACACATCTGAAAAGGCCTATGCTTTCTCTGTACTTTGCAACTCTGCATGCTGCAGGCTTGGGGCCTCTCTGGCGTGCCCTAGAAACATTTATTTCTGTCCTCCCAACTCTTTCTCTCTGTCTTTTAAAAAATGAACCCCCATCCTTATGGAGTTCTGGAGAACTTGAAAGATTGATCTCTGTTTTGTGATATTTTGGTCGGTCCTGGGAAAGGGTCCTTTGCAGTTGTTGGTATTCAGATATTTCTATGAGTGTGGCTCAGAGGTTAAGACCCAGGTGCCACGTGATGGAGTGAGCTCCCGTCTCTGGCCCCAGCCCCTGCCAACCTAGCCGTTTGAAAGCAAGAAATTGCAAGTAGGTAAATAGGCACTGCTTTGGTGGGGAGCTAACAGTGTCTTCTGCACCTCGGCGTTTAGTCATGCCGGCCACATGACCACGGAGAAGTCTTCGGACAGCGCTGGCTCTTCAGCTTGGAAACAGAGATGAGCACCGCATCCCTAGAGTCAGATTCGACTGGCTTTCGGGCAAGGGAAAACCTTTACCTTTACCTAACTTCCCTGAATATCTGAACTACTTTATACTTCTGGGTTGCCAGCTCTGGGTTGGGAAATACCTGGAGATTTACAGTTGATCTCCAGACAACCAGGATCCATTTCCCGGGAGAAAATGGCTGCTTTGAAGGATGGATTCTATGGCGTTATCTCCTGCTGAGGTCCCTCCCCTCCCCAAACCCCGCCCTCCCCGAGCTCCACCCCCATGTCATTGCCCAGTACTGAATTTCCTGGTGTACGGATATTGCTAGATAGTGTGAGGATGGGGCCATTGGGGAACAGTGGCAACGATGCCGCTGTGATGTCAGGAGTGCTCTGAATTCAGAGGGGCAGCCATGTTAGTCTCTTCCAAAGACATTGATGGAGACTGGGATTGCCAACTTCCAGGCGGGGCCCGGAGACCTCCCGGAGTTACCGCTGATCTCCAGACTGCAGAGCTCAGTTCATTTGGGCTGCGATTAGAGATGTAAAATTTCCGGAAATTTTGACGCTCTTTCTGATTTTATTTATTTTTTTGAAAAAAACGGAAATTTTCAGAAAAATTGAAAAAAGTGCTACATTAGCATTTCTTTTGTCTTTTCTAGATTGAAAGTCATTCTGTTACTTTAGGGACATAAAATATGACTATGGACATTTTTACTTGGCATGAAATTATCACAACTAGCATATTAAAAATATAGTGTATCCAAACAATTATTACAAACAGAATACCCACCCACATCCAAAACCAAAACTGAAACCTTATTACTTTCTTCTACAATCGCACCTCCTAAAGGAAGAAATGCATCTTGTTCTTGCATTGGAGAGTTCAGTTTGTAACCTAAGACTTGTTTGTCCTCAGTGCACAGAAATTAGATCAATCTGATACCATATATATATATTTTAGAAATTATTTGGAAAATATTTGAACACCTTGTCTTACAATATTTTACTCATTATGTTAAAATAAAACGTCCCATAATCAATTTTTTTCTTTTCTTTTCTTTTTTCAGTTTTTTCAATTTTTCGGAAAAAAACAAAAAGGCTTCAGGGAAAAAACGGAAAAAAACAGTTTCCCCCCGAATTTTTCGGTTTTTCACTCGAGCCTTCACACACACTGAATACTCCACCTCCAGTCCGCTTGCAAAACACTTTCCAACTGGATTTTGCCAGTCCGCACAGTCAAATCCAGTTGGACAGTGCACGTGAAGTGGATTATTTGGTGTGTGTGACTGCAGCCTTGGAGGAAAAGGCTGCTTTGGAGGGTGAACCGTAAGGTGAACTGGCTGCCTATTGAATTCCAGATCCGTTTCAAGGTGCTGGTGCTTACCTCTAAAGCCCTATACGGCCTGGGGCCAGCATACCTACGAGACCGCCTCTCCCCATAGGAGCCCCGGAGGGTACTCAGGTCCACTAATCAACATCTGTTAGTGGTTCCCGGCCCCAGGGCTGGGTCCGGCTAGCCTCGGCCCTGGCCCCTGCCTGGTGGAATGAGCTCCTGTGTGAGATCAGAGCCCTGCGGGACTTATTTATTTATTTTTGTATTTATACACCGCTCTCCCCGCGAACAGGCTCAGGGCGGCTTAGGTAAAGGTAAAGGTTCCCTTGCTCGAAAGCCAGTCGAATCCGACTCTAGGGTAGCCGTGCTCATCTCCGTTTGAAAGCCGAAGAGCCAGCGCTGTCCAAAGACGTTTCCGTGGTCATGTGGCCGGCATGACTAAACACCGAGGCGCACGGAACGCTGTTACCTTCCCACCGAAGTGGTACCTATTTATCTACTTGCAATTTCTTGCTTTCGAACTGCTAGGTTGGCAAGAGCTGGAACTAGAGACGGGAGCTCACTCTGTCATGCGGCACACTCGGGTCTCGAACTGCTGAACTACTGACCTTCCACAGCCTGCAGTTCAGCGTCTTAGCCAATTGAGCCACCGCAGCTCCCCAGGGTGGCTTAGAAGAGGTCATCGAACTGCTAGGTTGGCAAGAGCTGGAACTAGAGACGGGAGCTCACTCCGTCATGCGGCACACTCGGGTCTCGAACTGCTGAACTACTGACCTTCCACAGCCTGCAGTTCAGCGTCTTAGCCAATTGAGCCACCGCAGCTCCCCAGGGTGGCTTAGAAGAGGCTTATTGCAGTTCCGCAGGGCCTGCAAGATGGAGCTCTTCCGCCAGGCATTTGGTTGAGGCAGCGGACATACCCCTCTCCCTCCCTCCAGCTTTTTTGGCCCTAAGTTTTCCAGCCCTATTTTTCCAGGCCAGTTGTCCATCAGGCCTGTTCTGATTAATCATCTGATAACTTTTATAATTATACGGTATTTTATGATTTTATGTGTAAATTGTTACTTTACTGTTGTTTTAATTGTATATTTAACTGTTGCACACCTCCCTGAGCCCATTGGGGAGGGCGGGATATAAATCCGATAAAAATAAATAAATAAAATATCCTCCTAAGGTCTCTCCCCATTCCAAATCCTGCCCTCCCCACGTTCTACCCCCAAACCTCCAGGAATTTTCAAACCCAGAATTGGCGTCCCTAATGAAGATCTTCCGCCACAACCTCCAGACATCTCTCCCCTCCAAATGTCCTCCTGCTTTTGGATGACGTTGCAATACTGGGGGTGGGTGGGTGGAGGGATGATTCTGCCGCAGCCCCAGTGGCACACACGTCTGAGGCCGGCTCAAGGTGTTTCTGCGCCCTAGGCAAGGCTGCCTTATGGCGCAGATGCCAACCTCCCGGTGGGGCCTGGAGACCTGGAGACCTCTGGAGCCAGCCACCCTTTTGCTGCTGCCACCACCGCCTCCTCCCCCCTGTCGCTGCCACCAAAGGGGGGGAGGAGGGGGGAGGCACAGCTTGGCACCCCATCCAGGGCCTGGCGCTCTCGGCGAATGCCTAGTTCACCTAGTGGGTGAGCCGGCCCTGCACACGTCCTCTGTGCTTGGTTAGTGTCTCCAAGGAGGTTAAAATAGCAGTGCGAGAGGACCTTTTGCCTCTATTCCATGGATCAGAGGAAATTATTAGGGTGATTTGGCATCTGTTCAGTTGGCGGGCGTGCCCAGGATTAGTATCGAAAGAAACCTGCTTCACCAGATCGTGACCACGCATTGAGGACTTTCTAAAAAATGCTGCTTCACAACTTTGGAATACTGACCCACAGGAGGTTTCTGAGAGAAGGGGTGGGGTGCTCGAAGAACTTGGAAGTCCATCCAGACCTCCCCAGCAAGAGAAATAACGATGGGGTCCCCCAGTAGGGTTCCTTTGAGTGAGCAAGAGAATTTGCATGCTGCCACCTCTCTCTCTCCACAAGAGAAATCCTGGCAACCCATTTCTATGCCCGGTCCTGCTCTAAATGACATATGGAATCTCCTGATTGATTTTTAGTGTTTTAATGGGTGACTCTTGCTCCTTGCAAGAAGTAGGGAAGAATCTGGACAGTTTAAGAGCCAGCTTACAAATTGCTCCCTTTGCTGGTCACGATCTGGTGAAGCAGGTCTCTTCTGATACCAGTTCTGGGCATGCCTGCCAACGTACCCTTCTAATGCCAGCCTGCTTTGGAGCAGATTCTGAAATCCATCTGTAGACTGGGGGCCTTTTCCGTTTTGCTTCCGATAAAGACACTCTCTCCCTCCTTTTCTTCACAGCGTTTGCATCTCAGCGAAGACGTTGCGGGCGCGACGTTCATGGCGGCCGGCAGCTCTGCTCCAGAACTCTTTACCTCTGTTATAGGTAATTAAATCACCCATGTCTTGATGCCATTGGGGAAAGCTTTAGCATAGCTATTTGCACCGTTGCTCTCCAGCAAAGACTCACAGGGTTTGATATATATAAATGAAGGAAGCTGGCCGATAGACACTTTGAAAACACAATATAAACAGTAAATGAAATTAGCACAGGATGAAAACAAGCGAGAACAAAATTCCTAAGCCAAGAGGAGATCTGCTAGGACAGTGGTGGCGAACCTATGGCACGGGTGCCAGAGGTGGCACTCAGAGCCTTCTCTGTGGGCACGCGTGCCATCGCCCCAGCCAGGCCCAGACCATCATTAAAGTGTCGAATTCTCTGCCAAATAATTTTAAGTCAATGAAAGCATTTGGGATTGCTTTCCTTACTTTGTTTGGGTCATCTTAAGTTAATGTATGGGTTGTTTTTTCTAAAGTAAAACCTCAGTATTCAGGTTAAATTGCCGTGTTGGCAATTTCGGGTCGCAGTTTGGGCACTCGGTCTCTAAAAGGTTCGCCATCACTGTGCTAGGAGTTCAGTAATGTACGGTAAGTTCAGCAGAGGGGGAGGATTCCATGGAAAAGCCCTCTCATCAAAGGAGAATTCCCTGTTTCTGGTAGGGCAGTCATCTTGTCTCTGAAGGTGGGAGCGACAGAGTTGGCTCTTGAAGAATTTCTTAACCATCCTAAGGAAACAGAAAGTCCTTTGGACATCTCAGTGACTCCTCTGAGTGAGGGTACTGTCATCCAACAGGTCTGAAATTGGGCCAGACCCATGCCACAGATCATGAGTATGGGAGAGTCCACCACACAATGAGCTCCCATTAGATGCAGTTTTGAAGATCTTGGTCCAGTTCTTGGCATCTCCATGATGGATTTCAGATGGCAGGTCTGAGAAGGACCTCTGCATGAGATCCCGGGGAGCCTCCACAACTCCACAGTCGTAGAGGGATTTCATTGCCGCCGCAATCCATCCACCCTGTGTTATGTGCTCTGCTGAGATGAAATCCCTTGCTCATGCTCTAGAGCGAAAGGATGAGAGCCACGAAATGTGGGAAGAGAACCTACTTCAGACCAAGCTAGATATGATGCTGGGAGTTTCATGTTAGGAGCGCTCAAGAGTTTTGACTTTATGTAAGGGCTTGGTTGTTACTGCAAAGAGAATAAAATTCATGAGACGATGATAATGTAAGTTTTGTAAATAAAACCATAGGCATATTGAACAGTTGGTGAACTCACAAAATTAAAAGACTTTTCTTTGCAGTAACACAGAGTCACCTATTGTCCAGTTAAGCCGGATAAAAATCACATAAACAGTTGAATTGTTCTCATGTACCTAGCTTTGGCATATCAAAATGGATTTCTTCATGCAATGGTTCACTGGAAAGACAAAAGGATAAGGTACAATTGTCTGATATACTTCAGGTGACTATCTGGGTTAGGTAAAGTGCCATATGCCACAAACCTTATAAAATGTGGTAAAAATTTACTTTTTCTTTGATTTGTGCTGTATATCACAAAAAATAGGTAGAGGTGTTAGTATTAGTTATTTGTAGGGGAATTTATTTGCTTTCCAACATTGCTTTAAAACTTGAAATCGATTAATTGGTTCACGAGTTATAGGTCAAATTACAAAAGGTAAGAAAAATTGGCTTCAGTCTTCTTGATGAGAGCCAGTTTGGTATAGTGGCGAAGTGCTTGGACTCTAATCTGGGAGAACCGGGTTTGATTCCCCACGCCTCCACTTGCAGCTGCTGGATAACCTTGGCCAAGCCATAGTTTTGTCAGAGCTGTTCTCTCAAGGACAATTCTGGAAAGAGCTCTCTCAGCCCCACCTACCTCACAGGGCGTCTGTTGTGGGGAGGGGAAGGGAAAAGAATTTGTAAGCCGCTCTGAGACTCCAAGTGAAGGGCGGGGTATAAATCCAATCTCTTCATCTTCTCTTCTGTAAAAATCTTGAACTACCCATCAGAATAGGTTATCACATCAGAATATAATACCTAGGCATACACCTTTCAGCAAAACATAAAGTTAAGTTTTGCCAGTTTACCAATATATCAATTGTGGGCTCTTGGCCCAGGGATGATGAGAACAGAAGAACCCTGGCCCACCTCATGGCCAAACATTTCATGTTGTCTGGCTCCTAACATGCCCTCTTTCAGTGTGGTTGCAGTTGGTGTGGCTTCACATCCAGCTTTGAGACAACAGGCCGGCAGCACTAATAGCTACTAGGCTCTTGCTGTGCCCAAAGCGCAAGACTCTTGAATCACAGAAGCAGACAGTCATAGAGTTGGAAGGGACCTCCAGGGTCGTCTAGTCCAACCCCCTGCACCATGCAGGAAATTCACAAATACCTCCCCTTCCACACCCACAGTGACTGCTGTTCCATGCCCAGAAGATGGCAGAAAACCTCCAGGATCTCCAGCCAAACCGGCCTGGAGGAAAATTACTACCTGACCCCAAAGTGGCAACTGGTATTTCCCTGGGCGTGTAAAAAAGGGCCACGAGAACTAAGCGCTGAGGCAACCCTTCCTGCCCTCCCTCTCACGATCTGCCTAAGTTCACAGAATCCGCATTGCTGTCAGATGGCCACCTAGCCTCTGTTTGAAAACCTCCAAAGGAGGAGAGCCCACCACCTCCCGAGGAAGCCTCTTCCACTGAGGAACCGCTGTAACTGTCAGGAAGTTTTTCCTCATGTTTAGCCGAAAGGTCTTCTGATTTAATTTCAACCTGTTGGTTCTGGTCCGACCTTCTGGGGCAACAGAAAACAGCTCCACACCACACCACACCTTGAGAAGGGCTCTTTGCTGCAACAGCCTCACAGTGCAAGGTGGAGCCAGCATTTTGCAGAGGTGATGGCTGCGGTGAAGTTTGTAGTCAGGACAGCCTGCCCAGCAAAGATGGATTGAGTCACGGGAATGGTCGGCGGCACCAAACCTTGTGATATATCCTTAGATCCATGCCAGATTAGGAGATCTGATCTTGGAGAATGAATTCCCTTTGGAGAATCCACAGCGCATGTTCATTCAAATCATTCAGACTAGTGTCTTCTGTCCAGAGTTTTATTTTCATACCATCTTTTATGTACATCGGGAAGTGATGGTTATTACAAGTGAGGGTTTGATCTTGTTTAAGTTGCTCTGAGACTAATGCGAGCCGTGACATTCTGAGAAAGCATTCTAGCTATTGTGGTGTAGTGGTTAGAGTGTGAGGCTGATGGGGAGACCCAGGTTCAGATCTCCACACTGCCATGGAAGCTCGCTGGGTGACCTTTGGCCAGTCACACGCTTAACTTCACCTGTCTCACAGGGTAAGTAAATGAAGAAATTCGTGAGTAGTTCAATTGAGATGGTGTGGAGTCCTTAGTTGGTAAAAGGGATGGAATAGACTGTGGGCGAGAGCCATTTCTCAGTCCTCACTGTGAGAAGTTCTGCCAGTCTCTGGCTAATAACCTCTGTCCATTCTGAGAAATCTGAAGGACTCTGTTTTCCCCCCTCTTCAGGTGTGTTTATCACAAAGGGAGATGTTGGGGTTGGAACCATTGTTGGCTCTGCTGTATTCAACATTCTCTGCATCATTGGGGTATGCGGCCTCTTCGCTGGACAGGTAAGAAGC